TAATCAACAATAACAACAAATTTGACCCCCAAAAAAAAAAAAAAAAAAACTATTCACTAGTAATATCACAAAGAAAAAGACACTTATCAAAACAATTTAAAATCCACAAGCCAAGAAATATCTATTTGTAACCTAGCCCCCCCCCCCCCCCCCCCCCCCCCAAAAAAAATGGTTTTCACATTGTGCAGAGCCAGCATAAGCATCATAAATGACTGGCAGTACAAATATAGAGTGGCTATCTGGCTTCAAGGTTAGTAAAACGGTTTTACAATGCAGTCACTGACATTAACTAGGGTTCGATTCCAAAGGGCATGTGGGTTCTGAAAAGACCACCATTGTATGGGTTTTCACACAGTGATACAAGAGCCTCAATGGAAAAGACTAGGACCTCACCATGGAACACTCCCCTTGTTAGCAGCGGACACTCTGCAAAGTAGAAAGACTCTGTGGTGAAGACAGCACAAATACTTTTGTTCAGATAAAACAGAAGCCCCCCCCCCCCCCCCCCCCCCCCCCCCCCCCCCCCCCCCCCCCCCCCCCCCCCCCCCCCCCCCCCCCCAAAATGACAAACATGACCACCAGTACCACGAACTATAAAATGAAGAATTGTGCCAGCAACAGGAAGAGTTGAGAAATGACATCACAGCACTAGGGAATTCACATGGACAATATCCGTTGCCCACCTTTAAACGCACAGCATAAGAGTAAGTATCAGAAATGACTGACACTATCCGAGACAAAAGACAAATGACTGACACTATACGAGACAAAAGGCAAATGACTGACACTACACGAGACAAAAGGCAAATGACTGATACTACACGAAACAAAAGGCTATGGACAGATTTGACGACCAACATGACACGCATGGACTTTATGTCATCTTATTTCAAAAGAGGAATGAAGAGTTATGATTCAAACATCTAGCATAATATACTAGTTTCAGAGGAACTCTACAACAGCACACTGTGTCTTATCCTTAAGGCAACCAGAACAGCATGAAATAGGACCTTATATCTCCCTCCCTATCTGACATGGTAAAAGAAGAAGTAAAATATACTCTTCCAAAACCTTTTTTGAGAAATGAAATAAACTTTTATCCTCCAATCATTACTAAACGAATATATACACTCCAAATCCTCATTCAAGAAAGGAAACAGGAATTCACTCAAGCATCTATTAAAATAGTTCCGCCATCGCGGGTCCCAAAATCGGACTGGAAAGGAGCATGGTTGAGCACGGTAGCTCTCCCACCCTGCCGCCAAAAAAAAAACAAACAAAAAAAACACCCAAAATGCAACAGAACAGAAGTTCATGGTCAGCAAACAGCACAGAACATAAGAATCCACTGTCAGCCCTAGATTACATCATAATGGCACAAAAAGATGCTGGTGAGCTATTAAAATATACGCCCACAATCCTCCTTTAATAAGTTTATCAGACCGCTGTACTGCTTTTTCATGAATTTCCTAATCTGCCGCTATACCTAATTCTCTGTACTTTGTGAAAAACTTTGTGTCACAAACTAAAAATAACCAACCAATCGTGGTCAAACCTCATAGTTAATCATGCAAATGGCTGCTCCCATGATTCTGTGTGGTTTCACGTGAAAATATTCTGAAAATTCATAATGAGGCAGATGATGAACCAAGCATTTCAACTGGCAAGTGAAAAAGCTCTAGGCTTTTCCCAGTCCAACAGGTGATTGATACTTTGGTTGATTCAGTCTCTTAGGAGTCCCAATTTCAATAAGAACACATTTCCAGTAAGTACAATTGACACAGAAGGTGAGAGCCTGAGTGATGAGGAGAATCTTGAGCCTTATAGAACTAGACCCGACAGTAAGAGAAGGGGGTGTGTCCCTCAAACAGCTGATGGGGGAGATCTTAGGTGGTCAAGAAGGTAGACAAATAATTTTGTATCACCAATGCAGATCTGAATTTAAATGATGAAAGGAAGGTCAACCTATTTTCTACAATGTCTCCACGTTTCATCTTATTCTATTATTTGTTTGCATGTAACTAATATTTTTGTACATCATGTTGTTTTTTTCGCTTTAATGCCCCGCTATAGGGGACAGTTAGGCTCAGGGCCTTAGTTTTAGTAGAGTTAACAGAGGACATTAAATGAAATAACATTCACAAATCTAGGAAAATATACTCTCCCAATTCTCCTTTAACTCTTTCAGTCCCAGGAAGTTTAGCATCAGAAGCCCAAGGGGTAGAAAGAAAAGAAATAAAACTGGCACATTTTGTGTTCACTGGGCTTCCAGGTAGGAACATAACTATATCATGCACTCCTTAAACTGAAATGAAATGTCATCAGGTATAAGCCTAAAATGAACTAAGTCCTTTTACAAGAGAGGAAATATGTAATTCACTCAAGCATGTATTAAAATACTCACTCACAATTCTCTTTCAAATAAAGAAAACCGTATCTAGTAAAATATACTCACCAAATCCTCTTTCAAATGAGGAACTGAAGTATATTACTCAATCATCAACAACTAAAATACTCCAATCCTCTTTCAAGAGAGGAAATTATGTGTCATTATCTAAGCATCAATAACAAATAAATTCCCAATCCCCTTTTCAGAGAGGAAATGAACTGTCACCTCACAAACATCTATTAAAATAAACATCCCCAATCCTCTCACAAGAGAGGAATTAAACTATAAGGTCACACACATATATTAACCCTTTCACCCCCAAGAAGTCATCATCTCAACTGACAATTATTTCATTACAAATCTCCGATTAGCCAAAACTTTGGCCAGTCTCTGCTATACTTATACATTAGATTTGCGACTGTTCGTGCCAGTGCCGTTTTAGAAGGCCTGAACATGATTATGTTTACTAAAAAATTGCACTGAGTGGGCAGGCCGGAGGATTTTTTGGGAAGAAAATGGCTGAGGATTTATTGTGAAGAAAATGGCCGTTTAAAAAAAAACACACACACAGGCAAAAAACCTGGCAAGTATGATGTCATAATTTGGCCTTTGGCAATACAAATCAATGAAGTCCACTGTATGGGTCACTGTACAATTTTGATTAGGACCAAGGAGATGTAATCATTTAATCATCCGCTCCATGTTTATTTATCACTTCTATATTGATATTAATTTTTTTGTAATATTTTTAAAATTATGTACGCAGATAAGTATTTTCACAAATGTTTTCTAATCAGTTTATAATGGTTTCTTGGAGTTTTCACATCAAGGGTTTCTACGGCGAAAGGGTTAAAATACATATACACACACCTCTTTCAAAAGAAAATGCATATTCACTCAAACATTTAATTATAAAACAAATTCCACACGTTCTAAAGTAAGGAAAAAAACTGACATGATACATTGCCTTTTTTTTTTTAAACAGCACATGGTAAAAATTTACAACCCCCCATCCTGTGAGGGAAGCATCTATTAAAATATATATCGTTTCACATGTTTTGTGATACAAAATTTCATGAACACTTTATACAAGAAAAACATATTTTACAGGAGAATGAACAAACTATATGATAACAACAATGAACAAATTGGATGGTAAATACACACATGGTTTTAAAAAACAACAACTGAATGTGAACATTATGACAGTGATTATTTGTTTTTATTGACATTACACCATGTGAAACATTTGGTCAATGTGAACTCAACATCTTTCTCTTCCTCTGTGGGTTTGAGTCCAGGGCACAATTTGCTATGTTCCAGATCTTTCTCCTCTTGACTGTGTGGTCCGCCTACCCCCTACAATCTCATTCTTTTCTCCATCATTATAAATGGTCTGGCTTACTTCTATACCTTGTATTCCACAAAGAATAACAGAATATTTACCAGAAATAACTAATATTGTGCAGTGAATGATACATCCTGGCACAATGTCATTTAATTCATTTCTCAAATATAATTTTTTTTTCAACATTGTAATCAGTTACCTGTCTTACTTGTACTGCATTCAACAGGAAATACAGATATTATTTACTTATTTCTGTTATCATTTCTGATACAATCTTTTTTCAATCACCCTTATCATTTCTAGCAGAGAGACTGGCAGATAATATGCAGACAAAAACTGAGTATATCAAAGAGTTGAATGTCCACACATCAAAGGGGTAGACCAAGAAGATAGCTGAGAGATAATATTTCAGCAGATCCACAGACACCTGGAGTCACCAACTGGAAAGAGAAGGCCACTGAAAGAGATAAACTGAGGTGGGAGATATCTGCAACAATGAACCTTAAGGGATCTGAATGCTGAAGATTTCTGTAGGCTTTGTGCATGTTTAATACAATGAAGGACATAGGTCTTGTGCATCATCTGTCTGATTCGCTACCTTGAATCTCAGCTTTATAACAGTTAATATAAGTTGCCTAGAACACCCGAGTCACTGATACTTAACAGAGAAAGAAGTTCTACTTACTCATTTCTGTTGTGTTGTTATATCTCTTTAACAACATAGCTATTTTTCATCTGTTTCTGTGCCTGCCATTTGGGGAGGAGAAGAAGGAATGCTATGTTGTGGTTTACAGCTAGGCTAGGATGTCTGCGGCTTTCAGCTCAACACATCCAATTCTAACTAATTGCCTTTATGTAGTTTGGGATAGTAGGGCTATTCTCCTGCACCCCTCTTTCCCCTAACTGGGGCCTGGAACTCATGCAGCAAGCTGTGGGTAACAACTGCTCCAGATAGATGGGTTTAGGTGAGAAAGAACAAAAATCCTGGTACTCAAAAGGTTACTAGATTGGTTTATTTAATCTCTCACCCTGCTGTACTGTCGGTCACTCACTGGCATTAATTAGGTTGGGGCGTGGGGGGGGGGGGGGGGTGCATTCTGTAATGCACTGCACACATCTCAAGGCAACAGTAGAAAAAAATGCAGATATACACAAATGTTTACAGTGTGCGTGGACTTTCCACACATCCGACGACAAAAACAAATCTGGTGCAGCTCTCCGGACAATGATGAGGTGGATGGCAGTTCAGACTGGTCACAAATGCTACCACCCATGCCAACCCTTGCCTGGCTCTGGTGGACACTGTCAGGAAGCAAATTACAAACAAGTTGAAACAAATTAAAGTAAATAATGGTACACAGGTAAACAAAAATATGATTTTCATGTTTTGTTTTGTTTGTTACAGCGGTGTTGGCATTTCATGAGTCAAATAGTTGATGATTTTAGGTAAAGAATGCAGCTACCAACAACTTCTAACACAGGCATTGCACCTAAAAAAAAAAAAACCATCTTTTGTGAAAACAAAAGGGTACCCAAGAAGAGTATGGATTGGCAACATTAAAAAACACTGAACGTCCACATGGAATGATTATGGCCAGTTTCTGTCCATGACAGACTCACAAGGCATTGTTGAGAAAGGCAGGTTCTCTGCAGAGTGGCAAGTATGACTTCAGAGGTCCCCAGCAGTTTCTGTCCTTTGGATCCTTCTTTCAGGGGCAGGCAGGTACCTTGGGAAATAAACAGGCAGCAGACATATTGGCTTGTTCTGCACCACTGCGGGGTGGACTGATGGTGCTTCGTCAAGACTCTTTCTAGAAGCTTAAACAGATCAATCATTAAGGTCTGGAGAGAATAAAGCAGTAGAAAGCGACTAAGGGATCCGGCCCACAGTCTACACACAGATGAAAGGCAAGAAAGAAGGACACACATAATCAAACTGCTACTAGTAACCATTGGTACTGGAACTCTTCGCCGGCTGCTGAAAAAGGGAATAAAGGAGAACTTCTGGGAATTTCATGAGTGCTGTGATGTTGGTTCTTGACTCAAGACAATGTAAATGAAAAATTTTATGCATGGCAAAAGTAGAATTTGATCGTGATAGCCAAGAAAGCTGACATTAGACTACTGCCACAAGGAAGGCACATCCAGTCAACAAATGCCTGAAAAACTCTGATGTTTCTTTCTTGTCTGGTAATGCTGAGAAACTGGACAAAAAATGAGTTAGAAGACATGGAGATAAACGGTTTGTGGGTCTGATTTATTCTCCTCTCTCCTTCTCCAAATGGGGCCATGGGGCCCTGGAGCCTACACAGAGAAACTAAGAGAAGGCCTTCAGTGAAGCTTCTTGTATAAGTTTGTTTCTGTGAGTCAATGTTAAGTCCATATATAAATATAAAGCTGTTTCACAGAATTTTTAATACCAGTTTTGCTGATCCATATGTTTCCAGAGGTGACAAACAGACAGTGGTAGAACAGAAGGTAGAGTTAATGGAAGGAAGGACAACAGAAAGAAGCATCAAAGTAGGACTACTAAAAAGTAAAGAAAGTAGGAGAATTAAAACATAAGGAAAGAAGGAATTGAAAGGAAGGACAGAAGGTAGGACCAATGAAAAGAAGGCTCAATGGAGGAACAAGGTAAGACTAATACACAAAAGGACATAAGGTAGGACCAATGGACAAAAGAAGGTAGGGCATTTGGAAGGGAGGACATAAAATAGGTCCAATGGAAGGAGGATAGAAGACAGAATCAATGGAAGGAAGGACAGAAGATAAGATCAATAAAGAGCAAAGAAAATGGGACAAATGGAAGGAAGGACAAATGGAATACTAATAATATTAACAATAATTAGAAGATGGGACAAATGGAAGGAAGGACAAATGGAACAATAATAATAATAACAACAAACATTTAAACAAACTAATTAAAAACTAGAGTTAAACTGTAGCTGACCTTTGTGGCTAATCCTGTATGCTGTGATAGATCATCAGATGACAAAGATCTTCCAGGCAACTCTTCTGTCTTCTCTTCTTCTCTACGTTTTAGACAGGCAGCTTTTGGATTCAAGTTTCTCTCTGTAAAGAGTGGTTTTGATAACACAGTTGAGAACCAGCAAATCTGACCCGTTTAATTGTAGTGGAATCTCCCATGTGGGGTCCGGGGCCCCACTGTGGAAAAAACAAAAATAGACCCACTGCTTCCCCATCAAGCATGTCATAGGAGTCGACTAATTTGGGACATCCTTCGAAGTCAGTACATCTGCCTGAGAGGCAAGAAGCCAACAGTCTGCATACAAATAAGCCAGACCTGTAAAATGGATGTGCACGCAACACTCAGGTTCTGGAACAAGACTAACATCAGGAGGTGGACGAACACCCAGAACTATCTGCCTGAGTTTACAGCCGGTGAAGAATAAGATAGTGGTGCAGTAATAGGTTCATCAATCAAGAATGTCAGTCTGGGTTCAGCCGTATCATGCTGGTTCAGTATATATATTACATAAGGGCAATTCACCCCTAGAAAAATAGATGCCGGTACTCATAATAAAGTGCCTAAAAAGGTGCCACTACTTATCACAAAGTGTCTATTTGATAAGAAATGGAGAAAAAAAAGGGATGCCTTAAAAAAGGGTGCAGGAACTGCATACTGTTGGTGTACCAATAGAAAAACAGCCCTGATAGTAAATAAGAGTCTCTGTAGCAAAGCCACCAGATCATTGCCTTCGAATCAGCACAGGGCAGATTTGGGAAAACAAAACTACCTTGGATCCAGGTCAACCCAACCTACAAGGGGTTGTGGGAAGTTAGAACGTGATACTGACCACACCACCTGGGCGCCGACAGGTCTTTACAAAAATGAGTCTAACTCGACATGCCTGATATCCGGTAGCGTTAAAAAAAAAAAAGGCTTACTTACCTGATTGAATTCAACAGTCGACATGACAGCATAGGATAATTATACAAATGTGCTTTAATGCGTTTTTACAGATGTGGCTAATCTGTATGCAGACTGCTGGTTCCTTGCCTCTCTGGTAGAGGCACTCCCACTTCTAAGCAAACACCCCTAATTAATCACTTTTTACAACATGCTTGCTGGGGGGAAGGGGCAGTGGGTCTATCTCCCCCACCCCAATGGGGCACTGAAATCACAAGATGAGATTCAAACCCAAGAGACCGTCGTGCCGGAAGGCGCTACTTTACAGTATTTACCCAGCAAGATAATACAACATGGGTTAAAGTAATAACGAGAACAGAAGGTTAAGAACCTGCAGCTATGTGGAGTGAATGCATTTAACATTTTCATGATTCTCATGCACAAGGGGCCAACTTCTGTGGTCGACGGCTTCATTTTTTAAAAACAAACCTGTTCTCATGGTTTTTACGACAGCAGTACAACGGTTGAATCATGGAAGAGATTTGAGCCTCAATGCCCTAAAGCCAACCTTCCCTGTCAATACCCACTTTCCCAACCTAAATAATGTTAAAAAAAAAAAAAACTGCTTAAACAAAATCTTTGCGGTATAGGCGGGGGGAGGGGTGTCCTTTAAACCCGAGGATTTACGGCTGCATGGCAAGTGCTGTCACCGTGGACTGTATGGGGTCGGAAATTTATTTCTGCCCCAGACAGAAACAAATCCATGACCTTATCTAGGATTCAAACCTGGGAGTTCTGTACGAGAGCCCAGTGTTCTTAACAATCCAACCAGCCACTCCTCAACCTTCACTCATTCTGTAATTTAAATGTCACAGTGACCACCAGAAATACTGACCTCGGACTTGACTCTCCAAAGAGGTGATGACATTGACTGCCTGCTGCAGAACCATCAACTTGGTCAGGGGCTGACTGGAAGTGCAGTGTAAGGTCACCATCTGTCCTAGTTCTTTGAACGCTTCATTTATATCTCGGACCCGAACCCTGCCAACACACGAACAAAACATAAACAGCTGTTTGCAGCAAAAGGGCGTCAGGTGAAATACTGCCCCACACTAGAAGGCTAATAATTAAGGCAGAGTAAATGACCCCTTTCTTTTCAGGACTCTTTCCATCTATTGCAAATTTAATGATTATGTTTTAAGGATCACAAATTATGTACTCAGGCCTGTCTTACATTCGGCCCTTCCAAGTACTAATCTTTTATAGCAGTTATATTTTATCTTTAAAGAATGGCACGCTCAAATAACACTCTACAGAAAAATTTAAAAACAGTAAAATTGTTTTGCTTTGTGACTGCATGTCAGTTCTCAAGGCGACTCAGAGAGATCCTTGAGACAACATGGAAAGAGAACTGACCCGCCAGCTAAACAGACTCGCAGAAAACAATCAGGTCGTTCTCCGGTGGATCCCTGCTCACTGCGACAAAGCAGATTTTTATTTTTATTTTTTTTATTTGCATTACTCTTTTATCTGTCCACATCTCCCATATAATTGCTCACTAATCTACCAACTGTCTATGATTCACTTCTATATAGTTTTAAGAATTCTCTTTCTTGTCTCAACTCACAAAGAAAGAATGCATAGAATATTTTTAATTTTTGTAAAATACTGTCTTTGCTTGAGCTTATTTTACATTTAACTGCTTTAATACATCTTCCATCTGATATTATCAGCACACCTAAGTACTTAAACATATCAACTTGCTTGAGGTTTGTCCCACTGATTTTGGTTGCCTTTTGGGGGCCCTTTTCTTTGTAATTACTGTTACGTCTGTCCCTACTCTGCCCTGGGCCACTTTACTTGCTCCACTAGATGCTGTTTGACTCCTGCTCACTGTCTTCAACTCTTTCAGTCGCACAGGGTTTCATAGAAGACATCCGATGGTGACAATAGCCCCAGTGAATTAAACTTGAGCATATAACTTCAACAGAGGCAGCAAATACACACTTTGCATGAAACACAAATCATGCTGCATAATTAAATAACTGAGCCGATTTCAATAGTATTCATCATACCAAATCATGCATTGCAGGAGTCATTTGGACTATAGCATATCACACATGGTGCATTGTTTAGGACTAAAAGAGGAAAACACCATGTCAAGAGCATATCTCAGAGTTTATATTATTCTTCTGTTGATATCAATCCATTCTCTACTCAGAGAGTGTTAGATATATGGTTTTAATTCCATATTAGTAGTTTTTGTTTTCCCCAAAAAAACATTCGGCGGGTAAGGTAGTTAATACCACATTAACCTGCTTTACTTCCCAAAACATTTCCTTGTGCCAAGACTCCACGTGGGAGTTAAGTTCAATTGTTTCGTTTAAATCTTCAAAATAAAATGTTAAGGGTGATTAAAATATGTGTGAAACTTTAAATGTAAAAAAATATTTCACTAACAATTAACTACAGACTATAGCAAATGAAGGGTTGATACACTGCTAAAGACAGTAAAACACAACAAAACAAACAGAAAGTGCTATCTATATCAACAATTAAAAAGTGAAATATAGAATTCAGATGTACACTTACAATGAAACATCAATACAATGTCAAAAGAGACAGACATTAACAAAACAACAAAGCATATATAAAGAAAAACATGTAACCTTAAAAAAAAAAAAGGGGGGGGGGGGGGCATAACATTCCTAAGTGGTAATGGGAAAAAGACTGACTATTAGATGAAAAGATTTTCTGTGTGGGTTCCACGGCCCTATTTGAATGCAGGGGAAGAACAGATCCAATGTTCTCCTAACAAGCACATTGTAAAAGGTGTCTAATTAGGGTGATTCCTTTGAAGTAGGAATGCATCTACCTGAGAGGAAAGCAAACAGTCTGCATACAAATAAGCCAGATCTGTAAAATGGATGTGCATGCAAAACTCAAATTCCGGAACAAAACCAAAGTCCAGACATAGATGAACAGTAAGAACTTCCTGTCAGCGTTAACAGCTGGCCAATGCTAAGAAAAAGAAAACTCAAAGATTGAAATATAACAGAATAGACATGGCAAGGTAGAGAGAGCAAAGGACCCCTTTTTCCATGCCTTGAGGCCTATTGGGCATACAGAGCTAGACCTTTATTTTATAGATGAATCAACACTCTGTGGGTGATGTGGTCAATATCACGCTCGCCACCTTTACTTCCCAGGTCTATACCTGGTACCCACTCAAGGCTGGGAACCACAAGATCATTTCTGAAAAAAAAAAAAGTCCGGCTCCACCAGGACCCGATCCCATAGCCTTCTGATTCGCAGGCCGAGCGCCTAGCCACTAAGCTCCCAATAAAGACATAGTAAAGTCTTGCAGAAAGACTCCTCCTTCTGGGTTCCTGGGGCCTAAATGCTTCATGCAGGGTGGCATGCTTCACTGCGGAGGACACAGGTGAGGAGTACTGTCTGGATCTTTTCACCAGGATAAGTCGGTGTGTTGGGATATGAACAGGTGGACAGACTGGCTGATTCTGCACAACTCTGTGGAATACTGAGGAACGATAAAGCAGAAGTGGTTCAGAGGAAAGGCACGAATGCTATTGGCACCATTAGTATCGGAACATTTCACTGACTGCTGAGGGGACTGAGCGCTGATGGGAATGCCCGAGTGCTGTGATATCTATTGTTGAATCAACTCAACTGGGGCCTAAATAAGAATGTATAGCAGGTGACTTAAGCCACGATCTCCATCACTGAGGTAACAAGAAACTCCATAATGTTGTGCAGACACAAACACAGCCAATAAAGTGAACTCAGGTATCTAGTAAACATGTTACTGTAGAAAAGATATGTCTCAGGAAACTGAAGCAAACCAGAAGTGTTGGTGTTGCGCCTTCAAGGTGACAGGGTTAAAAATATAGCGTTGAGAGAAAGAAAAAAAAATGCCTATCATCAAAGTTTGCACTTCAAAACAACAATCCTTTAGTCCTAATGAGTTCAAATAATGCAATCATGAGACATTAATTTCAAAGAAACATTAATGAAGTTGCTATCACACAACACACAAGCTCTTTAAAAAAAACCACACAGTACATCTATTCTACACTGTAGATGGGATACATGGACATCTATGTCTAAGGAAGACACTTAAGGGGGCTTGCAAGCACAAAGCTCTCTCACCTTTCCCTGGCATTATTTGACTGTCTACGCAACCGCTCTCTCTCAGCCTTTGTTGCGGGAGATAACTCCTCATCCTCGCTGTTTCTGTTTCCTCAAAAAAGCAGAGGCCGAAGTTCAGGATGAGCAGTCCAACCCCACATTATTTTTTTGCAGCAGGAATTTGGGAAACATTAAGTGCCAATTGCACAATGGGTTGGAGAGGTCGATGCGTACATGGGATTAAAAGAAGACAGACAGAAAAAGGAAAACAAATAAGCAGTTGACACAAAACTGTACAACATCAAAGAAGCAAAAATGACAAACAAAATAAATTACAAGAACTTATTAACAACTATGGATGGATGTGAGAAAGACTTGTGGGCTGCTATATGCTGAAAATGGCGAGAAGCGCTGGCCGAATGCCGATGACCTGAACCTGTTAAACATGTAAACCACTCTTCAAGGATGGAAGCTGCTCCGGTGCAGTTATCTTAAAGTTTTCATGATCAGTTGAAAATAAAAACAAAAAAAACTCTTCCTAAAGAAAAAATCTGATACATCCTTTAACTCTTTGAGTCCCAGAGTGTTTAGCATCACAGGCCCAAGGGGTAGTAAAGAGACATAAAATAAGCGCATCATGCGTTCACTGGGCTTCTAGGCAGAAACCTGTAAACATATGATGCGTTCCTTGGGACTCAAAGAGTTAAGATCTAATTTTATCTAGCACTTTTAATCTATCCCTAGAACAAAATTTCTGACTGCTACATCTTGACTGCAAACTTATAATCGACAAAAGACACCTCAAATCCTAGACTAAACCTGCCAGGTATCTCAGCACACACCACCACAAGCCTTTCTTACAGATCATGAAGCAGGCAGACTCCTGTGGTGGGTACCTTTCTCTATTATTGTTTGCCTGTCTGCGCACTTTCTCACGCTGAGCTTTGTCTGCAGGAGAGAGGTTTGTTTCATCTTCCTGCTGTTGCTTGTTGTTTCTGAATGTAACGTGAGGAGGGAATTTCAACAGTCAGCATTATGTTGTATGTTGGACAGATACATATGCAATGTTATATGCCAGGGCTATTCAACAAAATTTACCTAAGGACCAAAATGTTGAAAATGGGGATCGTCATGGGTCAAAGTTTGTGGCTTAGTCGCTGCGAACGTACTTAATAATGCCAGGGTTCCAGGTTCAATCCCAGCTGCAGGTCTTGCGCTGGTTTCGGAAGTGGTATCGATAAGCCGACTGTCCAGAAAGCAATGGCAAACTACTGGATGTAAATCTGCCTAGAAAAACCACAACAGCACAAAAATGCTGCGGCTGGTTCTGCAACCTCCTGTAAAGGATAGGCACCTAACTTTAACATGGACCAGAGGCTCAAGCCCCAGTGCAGAAATATCAATACAAATGGTAATGATCCGCGGGCCACCTGCTAGGCCTCCGCGGGCCACTGGTTGAATAGCCCTGTTGTATATAAATGTAATTGTTGCTGTACAGCTGGTACCTGTGAAAATGTATGTTGTGTGGTTAATACAAAAGTAATGTGAAATGTGTTGTATACATGATTCCTATGCAGTGTTATGTTTGTTGTATGTATGGATCCTTTGCAAATATTACTGCATGTGTGGATCTTATGCAATGCTGTATAAATGTTACATGTGCAATGTTAAATATTTTGTATGGATAACACATATGCAACATTATGCAGTGTGCAGGGCTCCTACGTAGTGTATAGATAAGACAGTAGATATGCAATGCTACTTGTTGTATGGATCCAAAGCAATGTTGTACAGATGGTACATATGCAATGTTATGATGTATGTATGGATCATATGCAGCATTGTACATGTGGCACATATGCAGTGTTATGATGTATGTATGGATCACATGCAGCATTGTACATGTGGAACATATGCAATGTTATGATGTATGTATGGATCCCATGCAGCGTTGTACATGTGGCACATATGTAATGTTATGATGTATGTATGGATCATATGCAGCGCTGTACAGGTGGTACATATGTAATGTTATGATGTATGTATGTATGGATCATATGCAGCGCTGTACAGGTGGTACACATGTAATGTTATGATGTATGTATGGATCATATGCAGCGCTGTACAGGTGGTACACATGGAATGTTATGATGTATGTATGGATCATATGCAGCGCTGTACATGTGGCATGTATGTATGGATCATATGCAGCGCTGTACAGGTGGTACACATGTAATGTTATGATGTATGTATGGATCATATGCAGCGTTGTACATGTGGCATGTATGTATGGATCACATGCAGCGTTGTACAAGTGGTATATATGCAATGTTATGTCAAATGAATGGCTTGTGTGGAATTATTCTTTTATTAGTGATACGTTTATAATGTCTGTGGCTGAGGCTTTGCAAACATGTTTCATAATGGTGGGTTTGACCCCCGTTGCGGATGATTTGGGAGCAGACCGTCTTGCATTGGTTTCAACAGTGGTATCAAGAGCCGATCGTTCGAAAGGAATGGCAAACTACTAAATGTTTTTTTTTAAATCCTGGTGCTGGTTCTGCAACTTTCTATAAAGATTATGCAACTAACACACATGTTATGTTGTATGTAGATGTACACTATGTTATGATGTACCTATATGAATACAATGTTATGTTGCATGCATGATACATAAGCAATGTTGTGTTTTATCTATTCATTTGCAATGCTGTAAAGATGGTACACATGCACATTTACATTGCATGTATGACATATAAAAGTAAACGTAAGGCACGTACAGAATGTTTTGTAGTGTCTTAATATATACACACCACTTTGTAAATATTATGCAAATACAGTTCTTTGTTGTAAGGTAAACTTGCAAATGTATGTTGCGTGTATACATATTCAATTGAAAAATGACACTATGAAATGTTTTGTTGTAATATACCCATACAACTTTCTATATATTATTAATGAAGTTTGTAAAAGCATAAGCTATTCCAAAATACTTATGTAAAATAATCTTGCAAATTTATGTTTATGAATCACATGTAAAAATTTTACGTATCAAACTAGTGTAATTTGTTTGGTGCATATCTAAAAGGTGTAAGTATCATCATCATCATCATGTGATATGCTGAGACAGTAAGCAGTCGTGGGTTGTCATTTCCCATAATTATCAGAATCATGGATCAGATCAGTGTTCTTGTCCCACTCTCTGTCTTTCCCTTGCTTTTCCATTCGCCAAGTTCACCAACTGTTGTCGAGTGTCTTCCTTCTCCTAACACATTCAATAAAACTTGACTGTCTGCATTTAATTTCTCTAATAACTTTATCATGGACATGTGGATTAGTGACAAATTATTAGCAAGTGGCAGAAATGTTGTTTTACAGATGAAAAACAATAACACCTTGGACAGATAAAAAGAGTAACAAAGATGTTTTGAAAGAAACTGACCCACGAAGGGAACTAACTGCCCACATCAGAAGGAGACAATCCACACTGTTTGGTCATGTCATGAGAAAGAGACAACTGAAGTACACCATTAAAAAAAGGCAGAGATAGAGATATTGCTGGAAGGTATGCCATCATGGCATAGAAGATCGCCTGTCCGAATTGAAAGAAAGTACATGAGACAGAGGGTTGCGGACAGACGTGACTACCAACACTACACAGCATCGACTATAAGAAGAATCAACTTGATGGCTTCAATTTGTTTCTAGGATTGTCTCATTTATGTTTAGTCACTGTGTGCTTTTGGCACCCCATTTTGGTTGGCGTGGTTGGAGTGGGGCGCTATCCCTCACAAAGCAAGACATAAAAGGTGACTAATGAAGGGTTGACAGGAATCTGATGTATTGTGTCAGCCTCGCTGTAAATCACCAGACAAGCCAACCACACTTTTGAGTGTGATCGCAGAAGAAACAAAAGGAGAAAAAGAAATTGTTTTCCGTCTATTAAAAAATGGTGGTACACTTATAATATGTGCTATTACAAGTACCCTTCACAGGTCTCAAGAACATTGGCAACGCACTTTGAAAGTTTGTTTGCTGCTGATTTTTGGCCTGACCTTTCACTGCTGCTATCATATCTGGAAAACAAAGAAAAAGAATTCATCAAATTATTATTATTTTTTATTTTTATTCTCTCTGTTTCTCTTCATCTAGTCTAAGCAAACAGGTCAAAATTAATCTGTGGAAATAATATATTTTTCTGTGTGTATGTGTTTAAAATGTCCTTCCTCAAGAAATGCAGTGCAAAAGATAAACACCAGTGACCTAAAAAGTCATTATTTGGATGAGAATCCAACAGCAGCAAATTTCAGAAATCCTGTTCAACCATTTAACAGTTATATTAACGCACACTACGGTTAAGAAGTAACCTGCAGTCCAAGCTAGGCAGGTTATAAGTCTCTCTCTCTCTCCAGACGGGCCTGCATGCCCAATTTGTAACCCTTTGAAAATAAAGTTTGTTTGTTCGTTCGTTCTCTCTCTCACATACTCACACAAAGTACCAACTGCCAACCTAAGCAAAACACAACAAAACTTCATTGGCCAGCCAGTAAGCAGCACACATCAGAACATCACCTGACAGCTAATAACCCACATCAAAACAACACAAACTAGCCAATAAAAAAATGTCCAAATACCAACTGTTAGTAATAAGTATTTAAAAAAAAAAAAAAAAAATCCTGATCAGTCAGTAATATATATCACAACAACACTGGCTAACCAGTAAACAATAAATATCTAACCCACCCTACTGGCCAATAAGTAAACTGCTAATCAATATATGCTTATTCTGCCCCCCCCCCCTTTCCCCCCAGCAAATGGAAATTGATGCCTTTATTATACCACTTTGCAGTGTGGGCAAGGAATCTTTGAGTCTGAGGATTTAGAGCAGCATGGTTAATGGTGTTGCCACGGACTGTGCAGGCTAGGATTTTATTTTGCACCCCCCCCCCCCCAATCCACAACCTTACTAAGGATTCGAACCCAGGTCTTCCGCATGAGAGCCCAGTGTTCTAATCATGCAGCCAGCTGCTCTTCCATATGCTTTTTATTTAGTAATAAATATATAATGGCATGGCTGAGCTACCTTTAGAAAGCTGGCCACTGGCCAGTAAGTAAATCTCTAAACATCACATGCCATTCAAGAGTAATAAATAAATAAATAAATAAATAACATCTGCTGAGCTATTTTTGGAAGATGGGGGACAACAAAATCAATTCCCCAAGACAACATTGACCTTTTTTTAGTACTACTGGACAACTGAATTAGACATAAAACAATTCATGATGCATTGATTCATATCAAATACGTTTAGAGCAGCAACATAGTTAGGTTTCCAATGTAATAATGCATTCAAGAAATTGAACTTTGTTCTTACAAATCATATCATAAAAGGTGAGTAAACTGTTGGCTAAAACTGGAAGTAATGGACTACAAAGATATTGCGGCCTAGCTGTAAACCACTACACAACGTGCCCATCATGTTTTAAGGACTAGCACAAAAAATGAAGAAGAATTTGCCAATCCCCTTACAATCCGTGCCGTGTGAAGCTGGTAGACATGTCTATCCACAGCCTTCTGTCTCGTGCACTTCCAATTATTTCTGACATAGATATTCCTCTGTGCCATAATGCCACTCTGACAAGCATCTTCTCTTGTGGTCTCATTCAGCCACCGTTCCCCTCCAACTTTCCTGGTGTCCCAAACAGCTTTACTTTTCCCCGTTCTCATTACATGACCAAGGAA